CCCCAGTGACCTCACACTGCTGCAGGTACCACCCCATCCCATCCCCCACCCCCAGTGACCTCACACTGCTGCAGGTACCGCCCCATCCCATCCCCTACCCCCAGTGGCCCCAGAGTTTGGGGTTTTGCTGGGGGCGGTTCCCCAGTGACCTCACACTGCTGCAGGTACCACCCCATCCCATCCCCCACCCCCAGTGACCTCACACTGCTGCAGGTACCGCCCCATCCCATCCCCTACCCCCAGTGGCCCCAGAGTTTGGGGTTTTGCTGGGGGCGGTTTTGCTGGGGACGGTGTATGTCTCTCTACCCGTGAGTGCACCCTGATATTTATCTCCCTCACTGCTGTCTCCCAGCTGGCTCACCCCCCGAAGGCGAGTGGACGCGTGAAAGCCCTCGCCCTGCCTTGTGCTGGCGAGAGGGTGCACCCTGGGTCGGTGTGCAGTGTGGCCGGCTGGGGCTTCACCGTCCCAGGGGATAAGAGATCTTTGGCCAGCGCGCTGCGGGAGGTCTTTGTGGATGTGCTGGAGGACAACCACACCACAATGCTGTGTGCCGGGGACCCGTCCAAGCGCAAAGACTCTGCCCAGGTAAGGCTGCCCCCACCTTCAAGCTCCTTGGGGAAATCCCCGTGGGTCATGAGTGTGTCCGACATTGGGTTGGTGTGCTGAGAAAACTCATCTCTGGGGCGGGGGGGAAAGCGGAGACTGTAGATGAGTGTTTCTTAAACTGTGTACTGTGGCACACTGGTGCACCGTGAGGCAGCTGGAGGTGTGCCATGGAGAACAACGTTGTTTTTTCTCAACAACTCCCCCCCCTCTTTTTTTTGGTTTTGTTTTTGCTCAGCAAAAAATCCTAGCTGTTCCTAATTCAAAAAAAATATTGTTTGGTGTTTCTTGGTGTTAAAACGATTTAGAAACACTGCCGTAGAGACACTGGGGGTGACTCCGTCTCTGGATAAATCCAGAAAGGAGAGCCTCAGGGAAACCATTCTGAAGCCCTTGGAAGAGAGGAAAGTGATCAGGAGTGGTCAGCGGGGACTCACCAAGAGCAAGTCTTGCCTGACCAAGCTGATTAGCTTCTATAACGAGGTGACTGGTTCTGTGCATGTTGGGAAAAGAGGAGACTCAGGGGAAATAGAGGGCAGGGGTTTGAAGGAAATAATCACGCCATGGGCGGCAGATGGGAGCCCAGCTAGGGAAGGGAAAAGTTGTTTACTTATTCCCACAATATAAGAACTAGGGGCCACCCAATGCAATGAATAGGCAGCAGGTTTAAAGCCAACAAAAGGAAGTTTTTCTTCATGCAGCACACAGTTAACCTGCGGAACTTCTTGCCATAGGAAGTTGTGAAGACCAGGATTTTAACAGGGTTCAAAAAAGAGTTAGATAGATTCAGGGAGTTTAAGTCCTTTAATGGCTATTAGCCAGGATGGGTAGGAATGGTGTCCCTAGCCTCTGTTTGTCTGAGGATGGAGACGGATGGCAGGAGAGAGATCTCTTGATCATTACTTGTTTGGTTCACTCCCTCTGGTTTTGGCCACTGTCGGCAGACAGGGTACTGGGCTGCATGGACCTTTGGTCTGACTCAGTCTGGCCATTTTTATATTGTTCTTGGGATGCGATAGACCTTGACTTTAGCAAGGCTTTTGATACGGTCTCCCACAATTTTCTTGCCAGCAAGTTAAGGGAGTATGGATTGGATAACTGGACTGTAAGGTAGATGAAAAGGTGGCTAGACTGTCAGGCCCAACGTGTAGTGATCAATGGCTCGATGTCAGGTTGGTGGTCGGTTTCTAGCCAAGTGCCCCAAGGATCGGTTCTAGGACTGGTTTTGTTCAACGTCTTTATGAACGACCTGCTTGAGGGGATGGGTTGCGTCCTCAGCAAGTTTGCAGGTGACACAAAGCTAGGGAGAGAGGTAGAGACGCTGGACGGCAGGGACAGGATCCAGAGTGATCTAGACCAATTGGAGAATTGGGCCAAAAAAAATCTGACGAGGTTCAACAAGGACAAGTGTAGAGTCCTGCCCTTGGGATGGAAGAATCCCAAACATTGCTACAGGCAGGGGACCGACGGGCTAAGTAGCAATTTGGCAGAAAAGGCCCTGGGGGTCACAGTGGGTGAGAAGCTGGAGATGAGCTAACAGGGCGCCTTGTAGCCAAGAGGGCTAATGGCATATTGGGCTGCATTAGGAGGAGCATGGCCAGCAGATCCAGAGGAGTCATTATTCCCCTTTATTCGGCTCTGGGGTGGCCACATCTGGAGAAACGCGTCAGCGGGAAATGATTCCTTGGCCTGTTCTGCATCTGTGGCCTGTTTTGTTCTGCAGGGCGACTCCGGCGGCCCCCTGGTGTGCGGGAGTAAGGCCCAGGGCATCGTCTCCTGGGGGCCTGACACCCGTGTACACGAGAGTCTCCTATTACACCCATTGGATCCAGGACATCCTGAGGAGATGGAAGCCCTGAGCCACACCAGGGATCACCGCGCAGACCAGAGCTTCTGTCCTGCGGAGAGGCCCAGGGCCTGCTTTGCTGAAGGGCTCAGCCCCCACCCCAAACCCCACACATCCCAGCTGGAGGATCTGCCTCCCCCCAGCCATTAATCTGCTCAGGTAGCACCCGGCTCATGGCCAGCTCTTGGCTAGGGAACAGCTGGGTCGTGTCAAATAGGAGCCAAACCCTGGGGCGGACCCGGCGGGTTGTTGCTCTCCCCAGTGTGAGTCGGTTGAGTGCCGGCCTATGGGAGCTCCTCTCCGTAACGTTCCTGCTGGAACCAGCCCCGGCCCTGTCCTGTCTGGGCCTTCCCCACGCACTCGCCCTCTGGAGCATCCATCGCCCCTTCCAAACACACCCGGTCCCGGAGGCGGCCAGGCCGGCAGGCGGGGAACTCTGACGTCTATGCTGATCTGCTCAAACATCGGTCGTGATCCTCTGCTGCCCGGCTGCATTTCGCTCAGCTCCCCTGCCCCACAGCCAGCCCGTAATAAAGCCAAGTTACTAAAGATTCAGCTACTGATGCATCCACCCAGAGCTTTGCCCTCCAGAGCAGCAGCTGGACCAGCCCAGGCCAGGAAGGAACAGACCGTAGAGGCCAGGCTGGGGGTGAATGATGTAAGGTGGGACCCAGGTGTGACAAAGTGGGGGAGGGGTTTGATGGGGTTGCATGCTGGGGGGGGTTCCTGGTGTCATGAGGGGAGGGGGAAAATGACTGTCACAGGGAACAGCACAGAACTGGAGCCCTGGTGACGGGTGACCACGGGGAGGCAAATGGGTCGCAGGGAGGGGATTTCAGTGTCCTCTTCAGCTGGTTCCAGCCAGCGCGGGACAAAGGGCAGGTTTGGCCAGAGGGCCCAGGGGACCCCAGAATGGCCATCGAGGGGCTGCTGGAGGGATCAGAGGCTGGGCTGGGAAGCGGGGGCTAGGGGATGGGTCACGGGGCAGGAAGAGCCCACTGGGCTGCAGAGGAGACTCACACGGGTGGGCCCCTAAGCCCCAGCTGGAGCTAAGAAGGGGGAGCAGACTCCCCAAATGACCTGTCTCCCCACAACACAAGACATCCACACGAAGCAGCCCTGGCCCGGGGGAGGCAGCCTGAGCCCAGAGACGATAGCGAGCAAACTCCAAAAATAGCATC